GTGGAGATGATCCCTCGCTCAGCCAGTGCAGGGTACTTGGTCACAAAAGTCATAGCCCTTGATGCAGATTCAGGGCAGAACGCTTGGCTGTTCTTCCGCCTTGCCCAGGCCTCGGCTCCAGACCTCTTTCGAGTGGATGTCCACAGTGGGGAGATCAGGACGACTCGTAAGCTGGAGGAGGACAGCATGGCCACCATCAACATGACCGTGGAGGTCAGAGACAATGGAGAGCCCCCACTGACTTCCTCCGTGTCTATCATTGTTGCTGTGGCGGACAGAGTTTCCAGAACCATTCCTGACACCAGGAGGCATATCAAGGATTCCAGACATTACTCAGAAATCACGATCTATCTCATTGTCGCTTTGAGTTCCGTCTCTCTCATATTTCTCCTGACAGTGGTGGTCCTCCTGGTGATCAAGTGCTATGGATACAGCATGCGGGGCCGCTCCTGCTGTGGGGGACTCTGTGGGACCCGCCGAGAAAGGTGTCCTGTGGAAACGTACAAGCAGGCAAACAACAACCTGGATGCTCGACTGCCCCATGGCTTGAAAGTGCAGCCCCATTTCATTGAAGTGCGGGGCAACGGCTCCCTCTCCAAGACTTACTGCTACAAAGCCTGCCTGACAGCGGGCTCAGGCAGTGACACCTTCATGTTCTACAATACTGGGGGCCCCACAGGGCTTGCTTCCCAGGCCGTGCTGACAGACAGGCATCTGACTGGGCAGAGTGGGCAGAGCTCTCAGAACTTGATCATACTGAAAAGCGAGCCCATGACTCCAAATGAGGTGAGGATTGCATCATTACATGCATATGGGGCATATTCTGAATGTGATCTCTTTGAGATGTAACAGGTTGAATGTTCGGGGTTGCTCCATGACAAGGCACTGGAGTGTGTGAGAGGGACTAGAAGGCGTGCCGTTCATTATTTAGCTAAGCCTGGGGCTTTTATCTCCAGCTGGTAAGCTCACTCAGGTTTTACAGCAGGTCTCCTCCTTCTAATCTTAAAATCAGGTTAAGATTAGTTTATCCTGCCACCTTTGTAGTAGGTTCAATCCATCAGATTACACAGTTAAGAGAACATTATATGAATGTTAGAACATTTGCATCGGGGTGGGTGGGGGATCCCAAAGCTGAATAAGACTGGGAATTGATACACTTTTCATTGAGTAACAGGTGGAAATAAGTTTTCTGCTCTATTCCACCACAAATAAGATATATTTGATGTTATTATAGTGATGAGGTTTTGAGGCACTCGGGATTTTTGGGTGTTTTGCTGCTCACACTGACACATCTCTTCCTTCTGCTCCTTCTTTTCTGCTGCCTTCCTTTCTCTGGCAGCCTGGCGAGTGACAGATCTCAGTCCCTTGATCCCCGTCACTGGATGACTGTGCTCTGACAGTATAAGCAGCCTGTTCCCTGCTGCTGTGCGGCTGAAAATGGGCTAGTCTCTATCTAGGACTGGAACATTAATCATAGTCTTTTCAATAAATACTGGAGCATAGTATGTTTCATTATTTTTCTATAGTGACATATTGGATATATTGCTTTCCTCTTTGTAACTTATTCTGTGCCTATGCACATAGGTGGGTGTGTGGTCTGAAAACTAAAGTCAGTAAACCTGTAGACATTCATAATACTATGGCCTCTGAACATGAACAAGAAATATGTTTCTGTGTGATTCGCTAGGTAGATTTTTCTGATTCTGTTTAAGAAAGAGTGACGCTTGTTGCTAATGGGGGCTGCTCTGAGTTTGTAGAAAGAGGAAGATCATTGACTGAAGATATCCATATTAGGACCAGGTGTGTGCATTTGGAAGAAGATAACTTGTGCTTCTTTCCCTTCTGCGTGGGCTAAAATATGTTTCTTCGGCAAAAACAAAACAAAAAAACAGTAAAGTGCTAAAGGAGTTGTTTATATACATTCCTGGTAGGCAAGCAAAATACAAATTAAACAGTGAAAAGTGAGGGCTGTTTCGATGTTTTCTTTCCTCCAACACCTTCCTGCCCCAAATTTTAAACAGATTTCCACAACATCTCTTTTGGACTAGATCTTGTATGGTAAATTAGCAGTTTCTGAGAAACAGCAAGGAAATGCCAGGAACAGTTTCAACGGGCCAAGTTTGCTAGACAGGCTACTGAGGACTGAATGCCAGCTTGCCAATTACTATTTTTAATTTCACAAATGACATTGTAGGCATTTGGTTGACTGGAATCTAGAGGGGAAATGTTTGATGTTTCACTTGCTTGGATAATCTTGCCACAGTGCTGAGCACAATTACAATTATTGTAACTCCTTGGTAGTTACAATAAAACTTAAATCCCAAATAAATGTGTTTAGAATTTGAGCCTTAAATGGAGGTGAAAGTCTGCTGCATATGCCCCCCCCCCAGTTCACAGAAAATTCTTATGGTGCTGAATGAGAGAAATTGCCTCTAGAACCACCAGACAATGAATAAACATAAGTCAAGCGTCCTGATGACTTAGGCTAAATGGCTGTTTGAATATGTACATAGATTTTAGCAGATGACCCCCTCCCCATTCATTGTTCTGTCACCCACACATGAGCATGTTATTCAGGAACATCCAGTGACCAGAGTATTATAGGCTTTAGACCTTACAGTTATTTTCTTTAGAAGCTTTGTGTGTACACATTATATTTTCATTGCTGGTACATAAGCAATTTTTCATTTCTCAAGGTCCTGTCTTTTAAGAAAAGGACCATGTGCCCTGCGTGGTATACTCCCAAGGATCTGAATGCAAGCCATGTTGCAGCATAAAAGCCACAAAATGCTGTTTTGTATGATTTGGAATTAAAGGCAGTCTGTGGCTTCTGTTTTGGGGACTGTCTTGGCTGCTGGCTTCTTTTTTGGGCTTCTCCCAAGCTGATGAACTCAGTTCACTTTGGTATTATAATTTTGAAAGGAAACCATTTTGGGGACTAGCTAATGAAACCAAATCTTACCGGTGGCTAACAGCCACCTCCTAAACACCAGCCAGTCTGACCAGTTAGGTGCTTGTATATATAGATCCCCCTGTACACATGTGAGTTCCCTCACTCACTTCAGTAGTGGGCACATCTTCTCCACTGTGGTCACCAAGTGGCCTCATTAACTGAAGTGAAGGGGAAGCCGAGAGACATGTACGTTTCTTGGGTGTGTGTGGAGCTCACAAAATGAGCCATTATGCAGAAGACGGAGTGTTTCCCTGGAAGAAATATTCCCAGTTTCCATGCAGTAGAGTTGTTCATGTACCACAGGGAGAGACAAGGACTTGTGCTTGGGAGGTTTTCCAATAATGTTCTAAGTTTTTTATAGGTCTTTTGGGATAGGAAGGCTGTCGTCAGAGTACAACATGCAATTTTGGAGTCTTAGTTTCTCTTAAGGTCTGCAGCCAGTGGGGTATAGTCATTAGAGCACCAGCCTAAGAGCTGAGAAACTCAGGTTCGACTCCCTTCTCTGCCATGGAAGCCTGCTGAGTGACCTTGGGCCAGTCATTCTCTTTTACCCTACCTCACAGACAATGTTCCCTCTAAGCTGTGGAGTCTTATGAGCAAAAATTCTACTTTGTGAGCTACTGGCATTAAAGCTGTGAGCGAGCGAGTTGGCTACTCCATAAATCAGTTTGCTCTGGAGCCATCCTTCCTGAGCTAAGACAGAAATGTGTGAGCCGGAGGTGAAAAAACTATGAGCTAGCTCACACTAACTCAGCTTAGAGGGAACACTGCTCACAGAGTTGTTGGGAAGATAAAACAGAAGACAAAACAATGTAAGCCACTTTGGAGAGAAAGGCAGGGTTTAAAGGAAGTATATTGTTCATGCATTTATTCAGGAGAATTTCAAGCACCCCACGTTAAATCAGTATTGCTATATTGAGAAAGAATTTTATTTAAGTGGTGGGGTCAGCACTTCAAGAAGCTCTGCAGCATCTTGGATAGGTCTCTGATAATATATTGTATTTTCAGTATAAAAGTATGCGCTTAGTGCTCTAGGCATGAGTCCCTCTTCCGTATGTGTGACCAAGAGCGCTTTATACCTGCCAGTTTCCCCTCCTGCTCCCCTGTCCCAGCCATCCAGAGGTTTTACATTGATCAAAACCAAGGTCAGTTTTTCAAAAAGTGCTGAGCAGCCCCCCCCCCCCAAAAGCTCTGAGCATGTCACCTGGATAAGGAATTTTTCCAATATGCCTCACAAGCTGATTGACTGGAAAGGGCATGTGGCTGCAAACCCTATCAGGAGCTGCGCAGTACCAGGACAGCTTGCTTTAAGTTAAATATTAATCTCAACAGCAGTCCGGCAATGGGAATAAGTTATGTAATAAGGCAGAGGTCCCCAACGTGGTGCTCGTGGGTGCTCGTGATTATTAAATCATCTCATTTAATGCCATCCGGTGTGATATTGAGTAAAAAGATTTCTGGTTTCAGCTGCAATTTAACCTTTGTAATTTCTTCTATTACTTTTTTGGTAATCTTCCAGAATTTAACCATTTTTTCACAGTTCCACCAAACATGATAATATGTTTCAACACTGTTTTTACATCTCCAACGTATCTCGGAGCTATTTTTATAATACTTAGCGAGTTTGTCTGGAGTCCAATGCCATCTATAGAACATTTTTTTTAAGAAGGTCTTGATGGGCATCCTTGAGAATGCCAAGGAGAGGAGGCGAAGCTTTGGGACAGGGGCTGGACCACACAGGCCTTCGGGGTGCCTCGTAGCAATGAGATTCTGCAGTTACTAAGGCAAAGGCTGTTATGAGACAGGGAACGTCTATCTGTATTATGAACTTATGCCAGGCAAGATCTTCCAGGCTGCTGCTGCTCAGCCATTTTTAATCACCTTTTCTTGCCTTGCCATTTGCAAATGGACAATTAGCCTGGCTGCTCCCCAGAGAAGAGCAACATAGGAAAAAAGTTCCCAGGGAGACAACAGGCTGGAACAGAGGCCAAATTCTAGCAAAGGCATAAGCTTGGCAGCAGCAACAACACAGAGAATGTGCACGGGAATGGGCCGGTTGGCTGTTGCTGATTATTTCCCTGACCCTGGCAGAGGGGAGGTCTCTGCCCGCTTGCTTTTACGTCTGATTACTGAAGGGAGGTCAGAATATTTTCGGAGGGAGTGCACAGAACATTTTTCACTTAGAATCTAGAACCAGGGGGGAGGGGTAGACTGTGTTCTGTTTGTGGCATAGGGTTGCTGGCCCCATCTGGGTCTGGAGATATCCCAGAATTACAACGCAGGGGTCATTTTGTAGAAAAAGAGGTGCAGGAACTCATTAGCATAACTTATTTGCATATGCCACACCCCCTGATGTCACCGGAAGTGTGTCAGAAGGCAACCCCCACCGCTCAGGCTCCACTGGACTGTTTTGGATTGCTAGCTATTGGGGGGTGGGTAGAACATGCAGATCTCTCCTTGCAGAGAAGGGAGAGCTTGTACCTGAATAAAGCTTGGTCTTAAAGGTGCCACTGGACTGTTTTGGACCAGGCGGCCGGGGGGGGTGCTCTGAAACTTAACTGGCTGCTTCTTGCTCTGACTGAGGGCTGCTGGGAGCAGGGGGTGGGGCTTGTTGCATGTGCCCGCCCCCTGGGCTCTTTACTGCCGGAGCTCCGCTCCTGTGCCCTCCTGCAGGAAATGACCCTTGATTACAAGTGATCTCCAGGCTACAGAGATCCATTCCCCTGAAGGAAATGACAGCTTGGGAGAGTGGACTGTCAGGTAGGGTTGCCAACTTCCAGGCGGGGCTTGGAGATCTCCCGCTATTACAATTGATCCCTGGATGACAGAGATC